GGGTAAAATTATGCTTAGGGTTAGCGGGGTTTAGTGTTAAAATTAGGGTTAAGGCTAGGGTGAGGTTATGCTTAGGATTCGCATTAATATTTTTCTAAAAGCATTCAATTGCAGGTTTTTTGAATTGTGTTTGCAAATTTCAGTAACTACTTGAAAGTTTGCTGAAAAACAAACGATAGGCCGACTGGTTACACTTACAGGATAAATAGAGAAGGTTAGGGTTTGGGTTAGGGTAAGGGTTTGGGGTTAGGGTTTGTGGTAAGGGATAGGGTTTTAGCCCCCCGAAAATTATTTTTAATAAGATCCAGACACTTTTGTCACTTAAATAACTACTTGAAGAATTTTGACTAGTTGGATCATTTTAAGTGGTTGGATTAATTTTGATTGGTGTAAAATGTTTTACTGGCTGGATGATTATTTTTTCCAATTGAACCATTTTAATTGCTTGGTAGTTTTAGCTAGTTGTACCATTTTTACCCGTTCGATCACTTTAATTAGTTGAACCATTTTAAGTGGTTAGATCACTCCAACCAGTTGGATCGTTTCAACCTGTTGGCTGAGAGGTTGCATCATTTTAACCAGATAAATTAGGTCATCTAGTTGGATGATTTGAACTAGTTGGACCATTTTAATCAGCTGGATCATTTTAACCAGTTGGATCACTTTAACTTGTCGGACCATTTTAACTTGTTGGATCATTTTAAGCAGATAATTCATTTTAACTGGTTGGATCATTTTAAGTAATTGGATCATTTTGAGTGGGGTATTCCTTTTTACTGGTTGGACCATTTTAACCAGTTGGATTATTATGACTAGAGGAATAATTTTCACCGCTTGACTCACTTTTCAAGTTTAGTCATTTTCAGTGGTCCCACTGGCTACTTTAGATGATTGAGTCAGGGGCTGGACCATTTTATCCAGTAAGACAATTTCCACCAGTTTGACCAGTAAGTAGTAAGACCATTTTCACCAGTAAGTAGTAAGACCATTTTCACTGATTACACATGTTTTATCTAGTTAGACCATTTCAACTAGTTGGACCATTTAAACCAGTTTGGTAGATATTGGGTTAACAAGTTGGGTTAGTTGCACCATTTAACCAAGGGATCGTTTCTTTAGGAAATTAAAATATTTTCACCATTTAAGCCATTTAACCTTGTTTTAGGGTTAGGGTTAGGGTTAGGGTTAGGGTTAGGGTTAGGGTTAGGGTTAGGATAGTTTGCAGCTAGAGTTAGAGTTAGGGCTTTGGTTAGGGTGGGATCATGATTACGCTGAGGGTTGCAATTTTTTTCTGAAAACATCCAATTTCGGTTTTTTGGTACTGTGGTTGGCTTTAAACTTTAGTAATTACTTTAAAGTTTTCTTAAAATCAAATCTGTACCCTAATAACTGGGAAAATGCTCAATTCGGGCCATTTTAGCAATTCACACTAAGTTTAAGCTAGGTTCTAGTGTTTTCCGACAGATTCTAGCGCTATTTTGCTGAGAACATTGTGTATTAGCTTCTTTGCAGTGTTTTTAAAACTGAAATAAGCTCATTTTTGCCAAAAAACGAAAACGTATTTTCTCCTCTAATTGTGTTTTTGTCAACTTTAGCGAAAAAATTCTGCAAAAATCGTACATTTCTGCCGTATTTTGGAGTTTTTAGACAGATTTTGTCGCGATCTTGTGAAAAACATGTAGTTTCAGCTAGTTCGGAACATTTTGGCAGTTATCTTGGCAAAAAATGGATAAATCAGCGCAATATAAATTTTTTTTTTCGGTTTTTAAGGTTTTTTTTTGCCTAAATTTTTACTGCAAACACTCTGTGTTAGCCGGATTCCAGTGTTTTTTCGCAGATTCTATCGCTTTTTTGCTGAAAACATTCGTTTAAGCTTGTTGGCATCGTTTTTGGTCGTGAAATAAGCTAATTTTTGCCAAAAAAAAAACAAAAAAACGTGTTTTTCAGCCCAAATTGACATAAAGGATACACAAGAACATTTGCTTATTGCCTTATTTTTTTTATTGTCCTAACTCATGAAGTTGATTTTGGCATTTCAAACAAAAACTCTGCTAGATCATTAACTGAATGACATACCATGCAATTACTTTGAAGCAAGAACACTTTTTCTAAATTCAGAAAAATGCCTTTTTATTTCGTTTAAGGATTGCTGGATATAACCTGTACAACCAAGATGAATTTACATTCATTATTTGCCATAACTTACACTAAATTAGAAATTCAATTAATGAAATGAGGGTACTAGCCCTTTAATAGTGTTCAAAATTTCTATTTGCAGGGATACTTGTGGCTACTGGAGAAGAATCAGTCTTTAACCCTTTACCCCCCCTAAGGGAGATAGTAAGCACAAGTATCCTCTTCCCTAGGGACAACTAGCTCAAAAGTGAGTGATCTCAAGGGCCCTTCGAAAAACTTTTCTACAGCAATAACTAAGCTCCACAGATGCACACAATGGAGACAAAAGTTGTAAGAGAATCAATGAATTCTTTTATTCTTGGTCCTTCCCAGGCCAACCTGTTGTACAAATCTCATGACATCTGTCCCAGTTTCAATCAGTCAGCTTTCCCTGCAATTATGTACTTGTTCTTGAAGCTGAAAATTAACAAGGTTCCTATTAATTAAGTTTACATAACAACCTAACAATTTTTGAAAATCACACAAATCTCAAGCTATATCCAGGGTTATGCTCTTAATAAAATAAACTTTTAAAGCAAATTGGGATTTTTTCCCCAGTTCTTTTTATTTATTTTTTTTGTTACTCTTAAATACATTTGCATACATAATGCTCCCCTGACACTCCCCAAAACTTTTAGAACAGATGCAAACTCTTAAGAATGATCAAGCTTTACCTTATCATTAAAAATTTTTACATCTTGGATTGCCAAGCTATCAGAGAGGTTTTTTTGGTACTTTGACCTGTTTAGCACCTAAAAAGAAGTGCACATACATAACACATACAATCAGCCAGGTCAAAATGTGCTGCAGCTGACAATTTGACCACCTACAATGAAATAGCTGCCGACTTCACACATGTTAGACTTCTATTCAGGATAAGATTTGGCCTCTGCTGCCTATTACTATTGCCAGATTGTACATACATACATGTGGGATTAGGTTACATGAGCAAACCTGCACTATTAAAAGAGATCAATGTATTATAACTCAATGAAACATTGATAAATAAAATAAATAAATAGAAATGACAAAAATTAAACTAACAGCAGACAGCACTCTTTTGGCCTTCTGGGCCTGATCAGTGCGGTGATCTTCAATTAAGTGCTTCATTTGGACATAAAACTGAAACTTGGTATAGTTAACTATTATTATTTTTCTTTTAACATTCCTATTCCAGCTGATGCATATTATTCGAATTACAAGTCTTATTAGCATGTTAAAATCACCTATGGACAAGGCATAGACTTTGTGCCAAAATTGCTTTGCATAAAGTACATCATCTAGTACTTCATTACCATCTTCAGGTATTTCTAATTTACTTGTGAAATCACACAAATCATAAGCTATATACAGCATACAATCAGCAGCAAATTATTAAAAAGGAAAGTAGTAATCTTTAATAATAAGATTACTTCGTAGCTAAATAACAAATAGCTCAGTCAAAATGTGCCAGTAACCAGGGATTTGGCGGTCTACAACAAAATATCTGTTAGGCGTCTAGTCTGGATGAGGTTTGGCCTCTACCTCCTATTACTATAGCCAGCTTGCCTACTTCTCAAAAACATTTTGACTAGGCTGAAAAAAATGTTTGAGAGAAAAAATGGCTATAAAAGCCAACTTACCGCAAAATAAGAAACATAAAAGTAACACTTCAAACTAATACAGAATATAAGCCTTACAGGATTTGGCTCTCAATAAAATTAGTTAAAATAGCCAATCTTTAGGTTAACTACTTACTCAAAATGGGCTGACAGCCTGTAATTTGGCCACCTACAATGAAGTACCTTCCACTGACTTCACACCTATCAGACTGCTTTCCAGGAAGAGGTTTGGCCTCTGCTGCCTATAATTACTACAGCCTGCTTGACTATTACTAAAAAAAAAACATTTTGACTGGGCTGTGCAAGTGTTATTAGCATATAAAAAGCACCTTCAGGTAGATTAGAGAAAAGCAGACTTTGTACTAAAACGCTTTGCTTTAAGTACATCATTACCCTCTTCAGGTAGTTCTAGTTTACATGTGAAAATCCCACAAATCACAAGCTGTATTACATCATACATGTTGACAAAGCAATCAGGGGTAAATTTTTCATAATAGGATGTAATGATCTTCAGTATCAAGATTATTTGGTACCTAAATAGTAAAATGTTCGAGGGAGGAAATAACCGTAAACATTTTTCTTTCTCATCAGCATCGACTTCCAAAAATAATGGATAATGACCACCTAAAACTGTTGGGGACGATATGCAGAGAACTCTTTTACGCGTAGCCGCACCAATACAAGTCATTCCATGATTTAGTAAACCTTCTTTTAAATTTAAACATTTTCACCATTTGACATTGCGTGCTGTTTTGACTTGATTTTCGTACACCTACAGTAAAAACTGAGAACGAGAACCTAAATTAACAACTCACTGGGCGAAAGCGAAACTGCAAAACGAGGCGCATTTACTTACATATTTCTATGCGATAAACGGGTAGGAAAAGCACAAAACTTCAACAATCAAAATGAACACAGCACCCAAGGTCCTGACACGAAATTACTCTCGCACTGAAACATGTGCTACCTAATATAAGTCCACAATTCGTGCTTGGTCGCTAGTTGGCCCAAACATCCACCCCACCTTGGGGCGATCTCCCAAAGCATCCCAACTCTGGGTTCTCACATGGACTCCAAGTCATTTTCCAACAAACAAAGTTTCTGGATAGGGCGAACGTAGACACTGTCCTTAGTTTTAACCTTTACAGTTCGCACTAGGCCATCCGGGCCTGGGTACATTTCAATGACACGTCCGAGGTTCCAATGCCCCCTTGGGGTGTTGTCCTAGACTAGCAACACTAACGCATTTTGTTTGACGTTAGGTAACACCTTCCGCCATTTAGCCCGAGTCTGTAAGCTGGATAAATACTCCTTAAGCCACCTCTCCCAGAACTGATTGGCAAGATATTGCACTTGCCTCCACTTCTTCTTATACATGTCAGACTTGTCGAAGACTCCAGGTGGTAAGCAAATAACTTTGCACTGCATAAGGAAGTGTCCAGGCGTTAGCAGCTCAAAGTCGCTGGGATCATCAGAGTTTGCAGTTAAGGCTCTGCCGTTCAAAACACGCTCGACCTCGGTGAGCAGCGTTTGCAAGACCACGTCTATGACCACGTGTACACCCAAGATAGCCTTCAGGACTGTCTTCGCGCTACGAACCAAATGTTCCCACACGCCAGACATACTCGAGGCGGTAGGGGGCTGAAATATCCATTTACAGTCATGTTGTATAAGCTCACTCTCAATCCACCCCTGATTCCATTTCTCGAGACTCTCCTTTAGCTCGCGCTGAGCTCCCACAAAATTAGAGCCATTATCACAACGAATCTCTTTCACTTCGCCTCTACGATTGATGAAGCGCCTCAAGCACATGACGAAACCATCTGTGTCCATTGAGTTAACAACTTCCAGGTGCACACAACGGGTAGTTAAACAGGTAAAGAGACAACACCAACGCTTTGTGGTTCCTCGGCCATGTTTGACATGCAAGGGGCCGAAAAGGTCCATACTAGTGTATGAGAAAGGTGTTTCATATGCCATGAGGCGTGCCTCTGGTAAAGGTGCCATCTGTTGGCTCGTGGGTTTAGCGAGGACTTTCTTGCACCTGACGCATCGGTTAAGGACTGAGCGAACTAGAACGCGGATTTGAGGAATCCAGAAGTCTTCCCGCAACTTGGCTATCACGTGCTTACGCCCCAGATGACCAATGAAATGGTGGACGTGACGAACAATCCTCTCGGCTACAGCATGATTCCTGGGCAGAATGATTTTCTGGCCCATGGTAGGTTCAGATACTCTTCGCTGGCCACGTCCATTGACTCTTAGTTTTCCCTGGGCATCCAATCCGGGATTCAAGGCTGCAATCTTGCTCGATATTTTGATGGCACCATTCGACTTCAGATCCTTTATCTCCTGTGCATATGCTGAGCCCTGTACAATCCTTGCGATAGCCAATGTAGCTGCATTCAAATCATCAACAGTCAACCTTCCAGTCTGGACCTTTCTTTTATCTTTAATGAACTGCGTAAATCGTAAGAGCCACGCTACCTTGCGTCTAAGGCGGGTCCAATCAGAGCAGGTTGTTACAAGCACTTGGAAGGGATAATCCATAGGATCTTTGATGGGTTCAAATTTCGAGTTCCCTTTCTTCGCCACAACTGAATCGGGGTTCAGTTCCAGAGAGTGTACATGAGTTTCTTTCATCAGTTCCAAATCTTCACGAAGCGCAGTTCTACACTCTTGCTTCGGCCAGGAATGTTCTGGTCCCCACAGGAATTCAGGTCCACGAAGCCAGCTGTGATCAACAGTCAGAGCAGATGGGGTCAATCCCCTTGACACATAGTCTGCGGGATTCAAAGTCCCTGGCACATGGTTCCAATCATGCACGGGTGAATGCCCCTTTATTTCTTCAACTCTGTTGGTTACGAAGGTTTGAAGTCTTCGTTTCTCATTCTTTAGATAGTGCAACACTATCTCACTATCAGTCCACAACAATGTCCTGTCAATGTTCAGATCTAATTCGTCTCGCAGCATTTTACACATGCGAGTTGCAAGTATTGCTGCCTGCAACTCTAGTCTGGGAATACTAACAAACTTCACTGGTGCATTCCTAGCCTTCCCCTTGATAAAGGTACAATGAACCTGACTATCCGGGTACTCAGCTCGTAGGTAGGACGATGCACCGTATCCGACTTCTGAAGCATCTGAAAAGACATGGAGTTGCAACTTGCAGTCTTGCGGGTCGCCATCTCGCAGAAAATAGGATCGCGGAATACGCAACTGCGACAAGGAAGGTAGTTGAGTTTTCCACGACCTCCACCTTGACAAAAACTCTTCACCCAGAGGCTCATCCCATCCAACATTAGCCTTCCACAGGTCTTGCACCAAGCTTTTTGCAGCCAGTGCTACAGGTGCAGCGAACCCCAGCGGATCGAACAGGGAGCAAACAGTGGAAAAGATGCCACGTTTAGTCTCAGGGCGGTCAAGATGCCTTATTTTGAAACCAAGAGTATCATCTCCAGCGAACCAAAGTATCATCTCCAACGAACCAAAGTATCCCCAGTGCTCTTTCAACGGGAGGGTCTTCCAGATCGAGGTTGAGGTTTTGGTTGGACAGTTTGTCACTTGGAACTGTCTTAAGCACCTCCTTCGAATTTGATGTAAACTTAGTCAGGTTGAAACTACCTCGGGCAAGGACGTCGACCATATCTCGGGCCAGGTGAATGGCTGACTGCTCATCATTCTCAGAAGGGAGAGCATCATCGACATAGAAATTTCCTTTTATAGCTGCAATGACACTGGGGCTGAAGTCCTGAGCAATGTCGTCGGCAACTCGCCGAAGGGTGGAGTTAGCAACACAAGGCGAAGATGCTGCTCCAAATATATGTACTTGCATAACGTAAACGTCAGGTGGGGCTTCATAGGTATTTGTCCACCATAAAAACCTCAATGAATCCTGATCTTCTTCGTGCACACGAATCTGGTGGAACATTCCTTCAATGTCTGCGGCAATACCAATCGTACCTTGGTGAAAGCGCAGGAGGACACCGACTAAACTGTTGGTCATGTCTGGCCCGCTCAACAGATTTTTGTTAAGAGAAGTTCCTTCATATTCGGCTGCCGCATCAAAAACAATACGCACCTTTCCAGGCTTGGTAGGAGAAGTTACAGGGTGATGTGGGAGATACCAATGAGTACTGGATTCCTTAGCTAATTTTTTCTCAGACAACTTGCGAGCAAATCCACTTCTGATGTAACTGTCCATTAATTCACGATACTTGATGGCCATCTCTTCATTCCCTGACTTTGTCAGACGACGTCTCAGGGACTCTAAGCGCTGTCTGGCCATGACAAGATTATTTGGAAACCAGCGCTCATCCTTCTTCCAAAGCATGCCCACTTCATAACGTCCATCTACAAGACGTGTGGTGTCTTCAATTACTTGCATCGCTCTCTTGTCTTCAATCGAGAGGGGCCTTCCTCCTGACTTAACTGCTCCATGATCTTCAAGTTTCCAGAATCTTTCAATGAGATCAACGGGCTTGTGATCAACTGAAACAAAGTTTACGGGGGATTCTTGCTACCATAGCAACCGCAAACACACCAACCAAGGGGGTAACGACAACCATAAAGTCCTTTCCTTGCATCTTTAGGGACTCGAACTTCCTTCTGGATGTGTGCATAGGGGATGTTGTTTCCCACAAGAATGGACACTCTCTTAATGTCAACTGCTGGAAACTCAATGTCACACAAGTGAGGGTGATTGTGGACATCAATTCGCTCTGGCAATGCTCGCTGCGACTGGTTAAGGTCAGGTAGGACATAGGCCTCAGAGACTTCAATGCTTTTTCCAAAACTCTCCACGGAACTCAAGGTGAAGGATACTCGATTGGACTCTATGACCTTGCCACTGTTCGTGATTGTATTAATTCCAATCTGCTCAGGTTTTCCTTGTATACCAAGATAATCAACTAAACCACGATCGATGAGGGTATCTGTACAGCCACTATCTAGAAAGGCGTAGGTTGATACAGTATTACCATTCATCGCGGTGACAATGACAGGTACAACGTTCAACAAAACTTGTGTTTCGGCGGTAGACAAACCGGCTGACGATATGGATATTGGTTCAGGCTTGTCTGAAGTAATGCTAGCAGCTTGACCTGTATTCGCTCCCTCGTGACTAGCAGGATGGGAGATGGCTGGGGGCTTGTCACCTTTGTCGTTGGACTCCTTATTATTGGGTGGGTTAGGACGGCGGCCATCCTGAACTTTGTCAGTATGCAGAAGACTAAGGTGACGCCCTGGGCATTTTGAGCATGCGGGCGGTTCAGGGCACGAGCTAGAACCATACCCAGGCTTTTCAACGCCGCAGGAGGCCGCATACTGTCTTCGGACTGCAACATGCTCGCACTTCTTGATTATAGGACAATGTTGAAGTTTATGACGCTTAGACTTGCAGACTCCGCAGCTTCTCAAGCCAGGGGCGGGAGGTTTAAATTCAAGATCCGTGGCACCAATTGTGGGATTCCTTATTGGAGGTTTGGGAGGCGCCTTGGGCTCTTTATACTCTCGCTTCAACATTTGACCTCCGAACACTGGGTCGTTTCTAATGGACGCTTGTCTCTTCACAAAGGCAGCAATGTCCTTCAGCTGAGGAGACCTTCCGCTCTTAACAATCTCATAGTTTTCGTTTTGCCATTTGATGATCAGGTCATTAGGAAGACGGCTAACGATACGCTTGAGGTTTGTTGCGACGTTTGCTTCACGTTCAATGTCCCCTTGAAGAATTTTTGTAGCTGCGTTCAGCTTCTCAGAAAAGTTCATGAGTCCAATATTATCCCCATAGGTCAGCCTTGGCCCAGCTACAAGATCTTCTATGCATGCTTGAGTTACCCTTATTGTTTGGCCAAAGCGTTCCTCAAGGGTTTTCATGCTGTCGTTAAATGAACAGCCTCTGTTTCGCTTTACCACTTCCAAAGCTTCTCCAGTAACAAACTTTGGGAGATATTCAACACGCTGGGCATCAGTAAGCAAATCACTTTCAAGATGTGTACGCATTTGGTCACGAAAGAAGGGGAAATCCACTGGATTCCCACTAAACCGTGTTGGCTGCATACCACCCAGCATTTGAGCCTTCCACATTGCTGCGACAGGATCATGTGGGGCGTGGTCGCCACAAGTAGCCCTCTGTGATTGTTGGACACTGGGTACTCTGAAGGACTGGGGTGATTTCACGCTGTCAAGGGTCTTGGGGACATTAGACTCTATCCTTGAAAGGGATGACTTCGGTTGAGTTTTCATGCTGTCCCGAGGCTTCAAAATTCCCGACACTGGGGTGGCTGACGTTTCTGTACAAGGGTTCAGTTGGGATACGGTCTCCTTACCAGTGGCGGAGGTAGCTCCTGGGTTTGCGTCAGATACACTGGCCTCAATTTTGTCAGAAGTGACCGGAGTAGAATGTGGTCTCTTATCAACCAGGAACGTGGTAGCATCCAAGGAACTAGCAGCGCCAGCTGTCAGACCTCCCTCATCATTGTACTCTGTTTCAATCTTCCATTCTTGTTCAGCTAATGTTGCTTCCTCTTCTAGGCGCCTAAGTTTCATTCTTTGTTTATGTTCGTATGTCATTCGAGCTGCTTCAGCTTTCTCCTTTGCCCTAGCCATTGCCAGGTCCAGTTTCATTTTCGAGACAAGCGCCCTTTTCAGCGATTTCTTACGTGATGATCCGGATCCACTAGAAGACTTAGAGTAAACTGACACATTGTCATCACGTTCCACGTCCTGGTCTGTTAGTCCAGGATCCATTCTAACCTTTCCAGGTGGAGAGCCCAATTTTTGCAAGAAACCTTCGCACTCATTAATGACGTCATGTGTACTACGTTTCAGGTTAGAATAACGATTCTGTACCTCTTCTAAGCGCTTTCTCTCATTTATTCCAGAAAGTTATTTCGTGTGTAGCTCTTCCAGTACCTTCCACTTTTCCGCGAGAAAGTCAATAATTTTCTTGGTTACTTCTGGGCTTTGGCCTGCATGAAGTTTGGACGGAATTACCTTCAGTAAATTTTCAATTTCCTTGCAAACATTTGTCCACGGCACGGCTGTGCCGCGTTGCTCCCGAGAGTCTCTTTGCCGATTCAATTCGTCGAAATCGATGCGGGTGCTTGGTGGGGGCCTGGGTCTGAGCGAAGAGCCACCGTAACTTAATGGCCAAGCGAACACATCTGTTGTGGTACAACCAGAACTAACGTTACCTTCTACCGTCGATGTACCAGGAAACTGGATAGCAAAATCAGGCAATCCACGATCCATTCCATCTCCAGCGTGGTTGAAACCATCGATATTTGTTCCACCGTCGAGGCCAAAATCCAACCGATTTGATGCATCCATCGCTCGACGAAATCCACTCGCCGGGTGTCTAGAAAACGAAGACCGAATACCGAAGACCGAAGACCGAAGACCGAAGACCGAAAAACGAAGACCCTAATTTTTTTGCCCGAATAAGGCACGGACAGTTAAAAAACTAACCCAAAGCGTTCCTCAGCACAAACCGATGTGAAATTAACGGGGGTCTTCGTTTTGTAGAAAAGCCCCCCTAAATCTACAAAACGAAGGCCCTTGCTAAAACGCTTTGCCAGACCCCTGGGAAGGAAGAATCTATTATACGTTGCCGATTTCAACCGCGCGCGACAAAAAGGGGTGCATCAGTTGTCTAGACTGATGCGGTTTTAAATCGCAAAGGAGGCCAGCTAAGGGGGTGCAGGACTTGTACAGCATTAAAGTATTTTTGTAACACGAGGTATTTCACAATTTCTAGCTGATCTTAAGCTTCCCATTATGTAGTAATTTTACAGCATGTAGGAAATATTCAGTACTCTGCTTAATACTAGGAAAGTTACTAGAGATAGTAGCATTCACAATTTGTAGTGGCAGCAGCAACATTGGCTATTAGCCTGGCAATTTTACTTATTCTCAAAAAGGCAAAGGGAGTGAAATAAATATTTGAACTAACGTCATGGTTGATAATTTATGCCGTTCAGTAGCATAGCGTGAAAATGCGACAATTTTTAAGCCTTGGCTGTGACCTAATAGCAAAATGATTTAGTCTTAGGATAGGTGATAGAAAGCACATATATATATATATATTTTTTTTTTGTGGGGGCGGCTAAAACAGTTCAAACGTTTCAGTGTATCAGTCAAAAAATAGGCCTGATTGTGTCAGAAAGCAGCTTCGGTTGTGATGGATCGCCAACTTTGTGACAAAAACACTTTGTCAGACGCCAATTGACGCGAAATCAAGGGGGTCTTCGTTTTGTAGAAAACCCCCCTAAATCTTCAAAACGAAGACCCTTGCTAAAACGCTTTGTCAGACCCCTGGGAAGGAAGAATCTATTATACATTGCCGATTTCAACCGCGCGCGACAAAAAAGTTTCTGTAAACCCAGGGAGGAATAAGACAAAGGGAGTGAAATAAATATTTGAACTAATGTCATGGTTGATAATTTATGCCGTTCAGTAGCATAGCGTGAAGACTGACGCGATAATTTTAAAGACTTGGCTGTGACCTAATACTGCAGCAAAATGATTTAGTCTTAGGATAGGTGATAGAAAGCACATATTGCTGTTGTTTTTTTTTTTGTGGGGGCGGCTAAAACAGTTCAAACGTTTCAGTGTATCAGTCAAAAAATAGGCGCGATTGTGTCAGAAAGCAGCTTCGGTTGTGATGGATCGCCAACTTTTGGACAAAAACGCTTTGTCAGACGCCAATTGACGCGAAATAACTGGGGCTTTTGTTTTCCGTTTAAAAAGAACCGTGTGGATCTAAAAAGTAAAGACCGTTGCTAAAACTGTTTGCGAGTAAACAAATAATTTAAAGCACTAAGGAAGACCGGGAGCGTTATTTGGTCTTATTTGGGTCATAATTGAATGTCTTCATTTGAAAAACTCTTTTTAGTTGGAACTCTTGTTGCTCTCCCTTGACTTGTAAATTTCTCACTTTTTAGTCCGGAACCCGAAAAAAGGTAATTTACATTTTACCGGAAGTACAAACTTTCAGAGCAATTAACTGACACAAGCCAAACATTTCTGGAGAATAAAAAAACACAAATGAAACAAATTTTAAAATTTCTAAACAGACAAATACCTTTTCTCTGCAAGCTATTGACGTTAACTTTAGTGCCAACACGTACAACGGAACTTTTTGCCGGCTGATTGCACTCTACAGACATAAAGCTCATGAAATCTAGCCGCTTTTCACCAACCATAAATGATTGACAGTTCTCGCCTTTTTGCGTTTTGCATTTTGGCAAAAGCCTGACTTACCGCCGGCCTGATTATTTCGCTCTTCTTTGGTTGAATTGCGGTCATATCAAAATGTGAGAGCGTTGAAGCCACAAACACGATGTCGAAGTTCCGAAAATTCGGACTTCCTCGACTTCTAGATGGAACATCACCCGGACAACCAAAGCCCAGAGTTGAGGGCAGTGATGGAATACCGCGGTTCGACTGCAACAAGCTAGTTATCAAAGATCGCATTGGCCACGGTGCATTTGGCGATGTCTTTACTGCCGATTACCAGGCGCCAGGTAAGGACAGTAAAGAGACGGTAGTTATAAAAAAAATGATTAACGTCATGGATGCAGAAGAAAAAAAACTCTTCTTAAAAGAAGTAGCTTTATTAAGTGGCCTTAACCATCCCAATGTGGTGAAGTTTATGTCCGTTTGTCACAAACCTCCAGCCATGATGCTAGAATACGTTTACTTTGATTTCAATTTGTTTGGCCTAGACGAACGCGTGAGTACACTGTCCGATTTTCTGTTAAAAATCGACGAGTATGACAGTGCTGGTTATCAAGAAATGGTTTCTCATGCAGCCGCAGAGATAATAAGTGGCCTAGCGTATCTGCACCAAACAGGAATCGCCCACAGAGACCTCAAAACGGCGAACATTTTAGTGAGCAACCAACACTACTGCTCTATGTCAGTAAAGTCGCGTGATTTACATGAAAGTTATCATGAAAGGCCGATTGCCTGTAAGCTGACTGATTTTGGTGAAAGTCGGTCACCATTCGTTCAGACGCAGCAACTCTATAGCTCCAAGACCACCACTGTTGATCGAGGGAAAGTGGTCTACATGTCACCAGAGCTTCTGGTTGAAGAAAAGCGCTTAACAAAGGCTTCTATCGCAGATCTAATGATGGCAGACGTTTGGGCCCTGGGTATGGTTATCTTTACGCTACTTAACCCAAGCCTTAAAAGTCCTTACATCTTAGAAATGAGATCAGAAGGTGTAAGGAATCAAGAGCAGCTGAAGAAGTTCATTACGTCAATTGGTGTCTGACAAAGCGCTTTAGCGAGGGCCTTCGTTTTGTAGATTCAGGGGGTCTTTTCTACAAAACGAAGACCCCTTGATTTCGCGTCAATTGGCGTCTGACAAAGCGTTTTAGTAAGGGTCTTCGTTTTGTAGATTTAGGGGGGTCTTTTCTACAAAACGAAGACCCCCTTGATTTCGCGTCTATTGGCGTCTGACAAAGCGTTTAAGTGAGGGTCTTCGTTTTGTAGATTTAGGGGGTCTTTTCTACAAAACGAAGACCCCCTTGATTTCGCGTCAATTGGCGTCTGACAAAGCATTTAAGTAAGGGTCTTCGTTTTGTTGATTCAGGGGGTCTTTTCTGCAAAACGAAGACCCCCTTGATTTCGCGTCTATTGGCGTCTGACAAAGCGTTTAAGTAAGGGTCTTCGTTTTGTAGATTCCGGGGGGCTTTTCTACAAAATGAAGACCCCTGTTAATTTCACATCGGTTTGTGCTGAGGAACGCTTTGGGTTAGTTTTTTAACTGTCCGTGCCTTATTTGGGCAAAAAAATTAGGGTCTTCGTTTTTCGGTCTTCGGTCTTCGGTCTTCGTTTTGTAGCCACCCTCCACTCGCCATCAAATATTTAGAGAGAAATATTTTTTACTGATGTTGGGGACGATATGCAGAGAACTCTTTTACGCGTAGCCGCGCCAATACAAGTCATTCCATGATTGAGTAAACCTTCTTTTAAATTTAAACATTTTCACCATTTGACATTGCGTGCTGTTTTGACTTGATCTTCGTACACCTACAGTAAAAACTGAGAACGAGAACCTAAATTAACAACACACTGGGCGAAAGCGAAACTGCAAAACGCTAGTCGGCCCAAACAAAAACAAAGAAGAAATAAATCATATTTGTGATTTCGCAGGGCCTCAATACGAAACAAGTATGCATATTTTTATTTCCTACATCTGATAAGTGGCAGGAATAACGGAAATGGCCCTCACGTGAACACAACAGAATCCTCTGCGTATATAACCATGTTAATAATATACATGGAAAAATTACTCAGTTCTGATTGGTTAAGATAAATGCAGTTTTCAGGTAATTCAGTGCAGAAGAGAGTTAATTCAGTGCAGAAGAGGGTTAATTCAGTGCAAAGAAAGAAACAAATCAGACAGTCTGATTGGTCAATAATCAAAGAAACTCACAGATAGCCAATCAAATGCGAGCCTTGGATGTCGCAACAAAATTTGAAAATTTGAAAATTTGCGAGCGAAACAATGGCCGGCGTTTTAAGTAGGTTTTCTTTCGCCACCGCAGCTGAAAAACAGCTTAAACAATGAAAACACTGTAAAAGGCGCTGCTTTTTGGTTGTCGGTTTGGAAAAAGTGGTGTTTAGAGAAGGGAATTGCCGAGGAAATCGAAAATTACGAGCCGACCCGGCTTAACACTTTGCTCGAGCGATCCAACGCCGAAATTAAAAACAAACATGGTTAAACCTCGGAAACGACGATTCCATTTCATCAAAAGTGATTCGGACACAGACTGAACAATTCCTTGAACTGTTTAGCCGGACTTTGAACTTTTTTGCACCTTAAAGATGCGAAGATATCATTACATGTTATTGTTTTGACCAAACGCACGGTTTGAATAAATTATTTTTTGTACTTGATGCGCGCGCTTTGCTTATGTTTAATTATGATAGACCATCTCGTATTTTTCCATGTATATTATTAACAGGTAATCACATGATTTTTCTCGTGCAATTTGGAATAAACAAGCACTTGTTAATTTTTTCAAAGACCACAAATTGCACTCGCCCTACGGGCTCGTGTAATTTTGTTGGTCTTTGAAAAAATTTAATCGTGCTTATTTATTCCAAATTGCACTCGAAATCAAGTGATTACCCATACAAATCTATTTACTGGGATACCTGTGGTAGCCCAGTCATAAAATCCCTTTGTTACTGGGATACCTGTGGTGGCCTAGTCATAAAATGCCTTTGTCGTCTTTTTTTTTTTTTTTTTTACTGGGATACCTGTGGTAGCCCAGTCATAAAATGCCTTTGTTTTTTTGTCGACTTTTTTTTTTTTTTCCTCCGCCACAAAATGGAAAAATTGCGCAATAGTACCCAGTGGTCATTGGGCCCTCAACACCATGACAACTAACTGTGATCCAATGAGGGTGAAGGTGTTCACATGCTGATCACGTGTTATCTTGATGATGATTGACGTTGTCATGCACGGACAGGTCCGGGTCACATGACGAACACGAGATTTTTGCTTAGAAAACGATAAATATCTGTACAGACATCACACCAAAACTCTTCTGTCGGTAGATAGGGCATACACCTATTTCAAACATATGCCTATGTTTGAAATAGGTGTATGCTCCCTAAGCCAGACTTGAGCTCACTATTTCAGTAGTACGACACCCGTAGTGTCACTACACTTGATTCCAAGGATCCAGTACCATCCAGGTATCCCAGTTACCCTGCTCACAGGGTCTAGTTTTTTCCTCCGCCACAAAATGGAAAAATTGCGCAATAGTACCCAGAGGTCATTGGGCCCTCAACACCATGACAACTAACTGTGATCCAATGAGGTGTTCACATGCTGATCACGCGTGTTATACCTCAACACCATGACTACTAACTGTGATCCAATGAGGTGTTCACATGCCGATTACACATGTTATCTTGATGATGATTGACGTTGTCATGCACAGACAGGGCCGGGTCACATGACGAAGCACGAGATTTTGCTATTTTGCTTATAATACTCTTTGGTCAGTCGTTTTGTATTTCAACGTATTTGGATTGCGATCTCCTGGAGCATTATGGCGCAAACGCGCAAAATACTTACAGACGCATATACAAGTCGTATTAATCGCGGCTAATCCACACTGAAAGATGTTATTGAGCGGTAATTTTGGAACGGATTGAGTCGCGACCGCTTGAAAGCCATGAAAGCCTTGAATGCCTTGTATGCTAAGTATGCCAATGTCTTAGTTGAAAAACGTTCACTTATTGTTAAAAAACAAAATCTGAAATCTGAAACCAAACTGCATATACTCTATGCAATCTATTGAACACCACTACTACCGTGAGACTGAAGAACATAACTATAATGGATGCAAACTGCTTGTGAAGAAAGACGACATGTTGGATTCACTTGATGGCAAGGAACGTAGCTACGATAACAGATCATGATCAGAAAGGTCAATCTTATGTTTGTTTTCATTGTAGTTGTATGGATATTCTTTTTTGATAAATACGTGATCCAAAACCCAGTGTTTTTTGTGTATAATGTTATTATGTTAAATATTGTTTACGCAATTTTCTTGTCACAGGTGGCCCAAGCTTACGTCTCGAGAAAAAGCCAACGATTAATTTATGAACGCGTCACGCGTTGTGTGACTCGATGTTAAGTTACGAGAGGAACTGCACATTATAAGGAATAGTACAGGGAACGAAGTATGGTCGATTTATAACGATACATATTTCGAAATATGAACATTTTTCTCGTAAAATCAATAAAACTTACGCATACCCTGTGTATCCGTTGTATTTTTTGGCGATTTCTGCCGTTTTAAGCTTGCTTTACCATCACTGTTATTCACGTCATCTACTTTTATTACGTTGGTAAAATCTGTACAGACATCACACCAACAATCTCGTGCGCAAAGTAAGAAGACTATATTGAAGGCTTGGAATAATATTACGATTGATTTTCATCAAGAAATGGGCCAGGAATATTCCACAATAGTGCAAGTAATCGTGAAGGCGGATCGCAGAAAAGCGATTGCGTGACGCTCGGTGAGCTGTAAGGTGACATGTTATTTTATACCAGACGTAAAAACTCTTCAGATTCTTAGTCTGCATTTTGTACCCACTCTGCAGTCTGCAGTCTATATTTTGTATTCGGTCTGCAGTCTACTGTCTGCATTTTGTACTAACAGGTATCCGTGGCACCAATACAGTTTATTTTTGGTTACAATTATTTATTAACACACATAATCTACCACAAAATACCTGTGAGTAAGGTAATTCGACATTTTCGTTCTTTCCCACATTAATATTCTTCTCTCCTTTTGCACCAATACAGTTTATTTTTGGTTACATTTATTTATTAACACACATAATCTACCACAAAATACCTGTGAGTAAGGTAATTCGACATTTTCGTTCTTTCCCACATTAATATTCTTCTCTCCTTTTGTAAGAATTTAGAAATCACTCACAATGTTTCAAGTAATCCACCCACCCTACAAAAAAGTAACTCTTGCATGCATAGCATGCCTATGTTTTGAAATAGGTGTATGCCCTTGGCCAGACTTGAGCTCACTATTTCAGTATACTAGTCCGACACGCGTAGTATCACTACACAAGGATCCAGTACCATCCAGGTATCCCAGTTACCCTGATCACAGGGTCTAGTTTTGTTCTGGCTTCCACATAAAATCTTGCTAGGTTTTGGTCTAATTCCTTACTGTTCATTTTAAGAAGTGGTGTTGTGATGTTTCTTTCCTGACACCAATCTGTGTAAACAATTATTTTGACATTGAGAAAAGAATTTTTTTTTCCAAATAAATCAATCTCAGACAACTTTTGCTTATTGAGTTCGTTAATTTCGAAACAAAGCAATGGCTTCTTACCTTGAAATAATTTCACTACCCATTTTGTGTTTCTTTTAGTCGCGTTCGACTGCGACTGCTCAAGTAGTTTTGTCAATTCGTTTTCGACATAGAAACGTGATTTTCTTTCTTTCTCCTGTTTATCGTAACTGTCCACAGCCTCGACAAGACTTTTTTCGAAATCTTCGCTCACCCAGTCAGGTAAAATATCGTCTAAATTTTCAAAACTTTCCATTTTAGAATAACAGAGAGCAAAAGTTTTAATGATGACGTCATCTATGCGTCTGTCCTCTAATAGATCATAAGTGAAAACCAATCAGAATGCGTGCATAACTGAGCTTATTATATAAACAATAATATACAATGGTATCTTCACACCTTAAAGGCGCAAAAAAGTTCAAAGTCT